AAATGGAATGAGTTCCGCTGATGCAAAGCGTCGAGGAAGCTCAAKAACGCAAGTKTCGCCAGAAACAATGCGAAAACAKTRACCATTCCGAGGCAAAAAGCACTATGATCCATATAGATAGCAAACTTGAAACCGCTGATCCGTCGTTCCTACTGCAAGTGAGAAGAGGYCAGCAACTCCTAGCAATACAACACAGCGAAACGCACATGATAACGCAAACGATAATACAACAGTATGGWTAAGTARCATCCRTACATAAGGATAAGYTCTTCCACTTCATAGGATGGCGAAAGAGGGAGGAGAGACAGGGAGAGGGGGGAKGGGGTGGGGTAGTGRAASGGAKAGTAATGAAGGAAATCCCATTTCAGCCTAGCGACCCCAAAGTGTCGACGCAACCATAAGAAGGGGGTTAACGGACCWCTCCCAAAAGCTTTTTYGCCAACGCYCGTTAAATTGGCTCATCAGGGGAAGATACCCCTTGGTTAACGTTCCGAAAGAGATGTTTATAACTTTACTTATGAAGAAGGGTTGGGGGCGTTTAGAAGAAGGAAGAAGATGCAGGAGCAGAGAGGGAGGAGGGGGTTGGGGGTGGTGGGTGGGGCAATTACATACATGTATATGTACGAGGGGGAGGGGGGAAAGGGGGAGAGGGAGGGAGCGGGTGATATATATATATATATATAGATAGATAGATAGATAGATAGATAGAGAGAGAGAAAGAGAGAGAGAGTTTTTCACCGATAGGATGAGCAAAATCGAATGAATCTTCCGCTAGAACGTGGAAATACCGTCCCCTTATACTGGTGGAGAACCTTACGCAAGGGTCCCACCTTGCAAAATCTGATTCGGTGGCAAGTCTAGAACGGCAAGGGGAAGTGGACAATGTAGTCTACATACATTCTGATGGATCAGTAGTAGTGAGCCGTTTTCAAATAGGGAAGGGAAACATCCTCCAGAGGACCGCTGCGAACAAAACGACAATATACCCAAAACACGATTTTTTTCGAATCAGAGTGCTCCAGGTAAGTCAGCAATGGATAGCCCTTCGACCTATATGTGACGAACTACTTCCGAAACCCGTGTTATCTTTCGTACCCTTTTGGTTTGAATCTTTCTTGTATCATCGTGACCCTACAAACACCCCGTTTGATTTGTTGATTTCGGGCGCTGCGTTTTGGGCCCCCATCTTCGGTTCTGCTTTTTCTTTTGCAATTCGGGAAATGCATACGAATTTATGCGTGCCTTAGTGAGCGCACTGGGAATTGGGCCCGACAGTTGGAAATTCCGGGATAAGCGGAACTTCGACGTATCCTTTTTGTGTGTGAATGTTCTTGGTCGCGTTGGGGAAAACTCTCGGAATTTTGTGAGGATATGAATAGGCGTATGACTTTCTTTTCTCGCGTTGTCCTTTTCGCGCGCGGATATGGTGATTTTAATTTTGAATTCGTTTAGGACGTAGGCAAGCTGTAACTGTTTCAGTGCCTTTGTCTTTTTCATTTTGTTAACGGCGCCACACATACGAAGCTTTCTTCCCTCCTGCCCCCCCCCCCCCCCCGCTCTGTTTCTCGCATCGTTCTCTCCCGTGCTCTTTCCTCCTCCCCCTCCTTCTCATCCTCCCTTCTCGCAACTGTTTTCCCTCCCTCTCCCCCGCTCTGATCGATTGCGCGTCCATTTCCCTTTCTTGATCATCTGAATCTTGGACCTGTCTCGCGCTGCTTTTCGCGCCTCGTCTCTTCCCGCTCATCGACCTTGGCTCACGAAGCCCAGTTAATCCTCCGATCACCCCGGCTCACCAATCAGACGCGTTGAGTATGAGGAACTTCCTGCTACGCAACAAATCTGATTGATCGACCATTGGGCTCGAAAGGATGAACATGGCTTCCATAGCGCGCTCCTCGCCAAGTCTTCTCCTCTTGCTTCTTTTCTATCACTTTGATTTCCCCCCTGCCTTCTCTCTCTCTCGCCCCCCTTCTCGCCACTATAAATTTCGCAAGTGCGCTCGCAAATCTCTCTTACGTTCTCGAATCCCAAGCCAGCTTCCGGGAAGCAGTGGCTAGGCAGAGTGTTCGGTGCGAGTCGGAAAGTCCTGTCGGGCTGACGATAGGCTGGCCGGTTGAGTGCTTGATCGCCACGACGGACTGTGGGATCTGGGCGAACTGCGTCCAGTTTACGTCGAGAGGGTGACGATCGCAGTGGTGGGAGTTAGCACGCGACGGTCGGGATCGTCGGTGCAGGCATGAGGATCGATGATTAGAGTTGAGTAGATGGTTGGCCCGGGGCCATATTGGAATTCACGGCAAATGCGCCTTCGTTGTTGCAGATCTTTATCTCTGGCGTGAGTGTACGGCGGCAGCACCGAACTTCCTCTTTTCGGTTCTTGTAATTTCCTATCTCGATCTTCCTCCCTYGTCTCTCTCTCTCTCTCTTCTATCTTTGAATGACGATGTGTCTCAATGCTTGTCCCTCTCATGAATGAGAGTGAATTTGCGTGCTCTCCTTTGTGAAAGAACTTCTTCCAAAACTCTTCCATTAGTTTCGTGGGTCATCCGCGGATGTCGAGGAATTGATCCCCTTGTCTTCTAAACGGTGGATGCATGTGTACAATTCCCTCGGTTGATTTCTGACCTTTGCACCCCTGTCATTTTCGCACCTCCCACATTGAATGTATGTATGGAGATGCTTGCCTTTTAGTATTGATTCGACGCCGCACTCGACGGGATTTTGTTCGAGAATGCAAGAGTGTTTAGATCTGTAGTTCTAAATGCACTACGCATGCCATCTGCCTTATGCTGCACAACATCTGCAGCCGATCTACAGGGCAGCCTCGAGAAACAAGGCGCCTGGGATCAACGCCGCGGTGGCTTACTAAACCTGAGTCGCGGGTTGGTCCCTCAGTTACATGCATGATCAAGCTGATGAATGTTTTCTCTCTCTCTCGTGTCGAAAAGAATTGATTGGTGATTGTGCGAGTGTTTCTCCTTCATGACGTCTCCGGATTTTTGCAATTGATTGGCATGTGGACTGATGAACGCCCTTCGATCGGGCGTCAACCTCCCCGTATCTCCCGTATCAACACGACCTTTTCCTTACGACGAGGGAAGGACACGTGTATGCGAGTGGGACATACGAGAAGCTGTCGCACGGATCGGCGGGCGTTATTACTTCCCTCCGAAAAATCGTTGTTCAGGGTTCGTAGAGGCTGGGTTTGTCATTATCGATACACACTTTCCACCTTACTCGATACTGTTGCCATTTAACGAGTCGATCGTCATCCCGTGGACGGCAGTAGAACACCACTGGCCTCGCACTCTATGCATCGAGTGCCATCGCTTTGAGCGCTACGAATCCAAGGGTTTCCACTACCGCGTACGGAGTGAAGACGAACACAGGGAAAAAGCCACATGACTGAGGCCCTCCACGTCAGACTCCGAACTGACTGGTGAACGACGTCGGGACTTAATACGAAGACGAGACACGCGAAGCGTGCTGAAACCTTTTCGCTCTAAACGAAGGGCCGTAGCACGGTGGGAAATCCGACAATACTTTTTGGATTGAATTTGTATCTCTCTCCCCTTTCGTGCCGAACCCTCGCGCGCATTTTGCGATGTGAGAAAAACGGTCGACGTACTTCATCGGACCAACACGGGGGATTTCAGTTTCGTATGTGTCCCCACACTCAATTTCCAAAAATCCTTGGCACACCCCGTTTTGCTGTTTTTCTAGGCCCCTTTTCCGCACCACTAGCACTCCGAATGGAAGACAGCGCATGGCAAGAGGTTGGTATCAGAGCCGACACGTGTCGGTTCTGGTGATAATAAGTCGAACTGGTGAGAGGTAGAAGAAGCCCTCAACCAGCTCGAAGAGACCGCCCAGTGACCAGGTCTCGATCTGGTGCGGTTGTACCCGGTATGCCAATGGCAGACGGTAACAGGGTGGTGGTTAGCATCCCTGCCCCCTTCCCCCTCTTCCCTAACCATACCCACCCCGAAGCTTGGGCGGAAACCGTCGAAGCTCAAGGATACAGAGCGGGTGATCGTCCCCGCATTCTTACCTTGCTACTTTGTAATACGGCGCATGACTGGTTCAGAAAGCACACGTGGGTAGATTGGAATACTTTCAAACAAGCGTTTTTGGCCCGATTTGATACGGTCAGTGAAGATGCCGCCTGGTACGTACTCAAAACTCGTCCACAAGGACCAGGGGAATTATTGCCTGATTTCGTGGATCGATTTCAGACCACGTTGGATAAATATGGGCGAGATGAGAAATCCGCTCCGGATCTGTTCATCGATCATCTACGAAGTCCGACGTTGAAAGGGAAGTTACAGAAAAAGGTTCCCCCGAAAACTCACCAGCTGTCGGCTATTATCACTAAAGCCCTCGACTTAGACCTGGCCGATACAAAGAAATATATCAGTCAGGGAGACGAAGACATCACAGATACGATACAGGATGTAGCGGCTAAAAGACGATTGTGGTTAAGTGCGGTAGAACGGTTTTATCCCCATGACCTCCCCGATGGGACCGCCTCTGATATCCCGTTAGCTTCGTCGTCCTTGCCCCTAACGAATCCACAGATAGCGGCAATTAAAAGCAGAATCCCCAACGACTCTCCCTCTCAGGCCGTAACAAACTTACATCTTGCACAAATGATCCATACAACCACCACCAAGCAATCGGAATGGATGAGCAACCTGGTTCAAATGCAGGCAGCTCACATGGAGCGGATGGAACAGATAAAGAGCCGGTTAATTAAGCCCAACCCGGCCCCTGCTCGACCTGCCCCTGCGTCATTTTCCCTCTTCCCTGCCCCGCCTACACCCGGGTACGCCCCACAGTTCCCTCACCCAGCTAATCCAGCAAGAAAGGTCGAGTGTTTTAACTGCAAACAGCCCACACATTTTGCTCGGGACTGTCCGCAGCCGAAACGTAATCAACCCCCACCAGCCGCGGCCCATGTAGCTCTGAACCAAGGACGAGTGGCCGCACTGATGGACACGACCCAAGGAGGGGAACTTGTTGCATATGAGCAACCCTCCCCCTCAATGGCTGTTGCTTTAACCTCGGGAGCTTCTTCCTCCTCCGACGCTGCTGATGTGGTCGATCCACTCGAGTATCTTCATCTCGCCGGCATGGTCAGAGCGATCCGATCATCCCACGATGATCTTGAATGGGTCGATCGTGAATCCAATCCCGGTCCACAGTTTCAGACGGGAGAAATTGATGTATTACGAACACTTAAGCAGCTGGATATCGGTGTTCCGATCCCGGTGGGACATTTGCTCACCATCTCCGAAGCTGCAAATGATAAACTCCTGCAACATTGCCAGAAAAATCAAAAGCGCTTCACATACCAGAGAGTACAGCGAATGTTGAAGGAGAAGGAAGGAGGCCAGGAGGTTGCACCATCGAAACCTGAAACAGGTGAATCCGAAGCAGCACGAGTAGCTGCAATTTCGTTGGCAGAGAAGGATCACTTCATACGAGCTCGACCAGTGTTGTGGAAAAGCGCTGAGTGCGATTGTGAAGTTTGGGGCAAACTGTTTAACGCCCTTATCGATACTGGGTCTTCCGCAGTGGCCATATATTTAGACACAGTAAGAAAGACAGGACGACTCGGATCCATTCTTTGTCAATCTAGCAAAGACAACTATGTCTCTGCCGACGAGGAAGCGAATAACATCGTGGGTATTCTTGAGAATGTGGTTGCGAAGGTCGGATGAGTACACGTCCTTGTTCACGCACTAGTAATAGATGTGCGCTCCTATTCTGTGTTGTTAGGATTACCTTGGGCGATGGCGGTAGGTGCTCGTCTGCATTTCGACTCCAAACAACTAGTGCTCGCGCAAACTGAGGGAAAGCCTCAGACTGTCCCTTTGCGGATTTCCTCCCGGACGGTAAAACGAACTCCTAACTCTGCCCAAGTAGGGATGATTCAAGGCCTCGATCCTGAGGAACCTTCTTCCTCGGACATCAGTAGCGGAATCGGGGAGCAGGTGTGCGAAGAAGAAATGTCTAGTGAGGATGAATGGAAGCACCTGGTCATAACTGTTTGAGCACGAAATCCCCGAAGAATTTCGAGTTTGCCCCGGAACCGCCCGAAGCTTCCACGTGGATTCGGAAGACGGCACGCTCGTGCCTCTGAAAACCCGGATCAGTCCTTCTACCCTCCTCGGGGAACCCATCCTGCAAGTATCTGACCTAGCAGATGATTTGGAACCCCCTCGCACCTTGTACGAGGGAGCGCTTTCCTTACGAGCACGCTACCAACAGACCGAACAATATGTGGACGTTTCTGTTTTGCCACCAAGATCTTTTCTAACAATAGGAGCGACCATCGCTTTGATTAAACAAGAAGCCGAAGCGCCGGTAGGCGACGTACCCGATCTGATGCAGGAAATGGCGGATCTAACAGGACTAATCGTGAAAAAAATATCGGTCGGTTTAGAGACTGATGTCGAAGCCAAGGAAACCGAAATGATCAGCCCTGCTGAGTCACAGATGATTGCGACTGTCTTCTCTGCTCGCACCAGTAGTTCCGTTTTTTCTAGTGTCCATGAGCGACGGGAAAGACCGGCTGATTGGGTTGACGTATCTCTTCAGATCCCTGGACGACCAACAATCTCCCTCCCGAACCACGTCCCCACCGAACTCCAAAAGTCGCTAATTAATATTTTGAATGGCTAGTACGTGGAAGTATTGAGCGTGCGCGATAATGATATCGGCCTAACTAACGTGATTGAACATGCCATTCTCACAGGGGATTATCCACCCATTAGCTGCGTTCCTTATAGGTACTCACCAGCTCAAAGAGCGGCCGCTTTTCAGCGGATCAAAGAATTCGAAGCTAATGGATGGATCGAGCCCGCTATAGGAACATGGTCTTTTCCCGTAGTAATAGTGCCTAAAAAGGCCGGGGGGATTCGCATATGCATTGATTATCGAAAGCTGAATGATATCACGATCAAAGATGTGTACCCGCTTCCCCAGATTGATGAGTTGTTGGATGCGATTGAGAGTGCTCGATTTTTCAGTAAGTTTGATGTTCGGCATGGGTTTCATCACCTTCTTGTTTGAGAGGAGGATCGTCCGAAGACGGCCTTTGTGCTATTCGAAGGCACCTGGCAATGGATTTGGTGTCCGATGGGCATCTGCAATGCTCCCGCAACTTTCCAGCGAGCCATGAACATGGTCTTTCAGAACTTTGTGCGGAAGACTCGTCTGGCACAGAGTATCATTAACTACTGCGCGATTGTATACATGGATGACATTTTGGTGTATTCGAGTTCCTACGAAGGGCACGTGCAACACATCGAATGGGCATTGCATGCGTTACGAGATGCTGGTTTCAAGGTGGCGATCGAGAAGTGCCAGTTTTTTCTTACCACCATTTCCTTCCTAGGATACGTGGTAACAAACCAGGGACTTAGGCCGGAGCCGCAGAAGGTGGCAGCTGTCAAAGATGCGCCGGTGCCTACGACTATTACGCAGGTTCGCGCCTTTCTGGGCGTGGCCTCGTTCTACCGAAGGTTCATCAAGGGCTTCGCGGCGATTGCGGGACCCCTCACGAATCTGCTGCGAAAGGACCAGCCGTTGATCTGGACGCCAGAGTGTGATCGAGCGTTTTCGGAACTCAAGGCCGCCCTCATTTCCGCCCCGGTCCTTATAAGTCCGGATCCCGAAAAACCTTTTGTCCTCATTACTAACTGGCAGCCAGAGGCAATTTCGGCGATCTTGGCCCAGGTGGGGCCAAGCGGACTTGAGAACGTAGTGGAGTATGCGTCCAAATCGGTACCCGCCTGCAAGTGTAACTACGTCGTTCCAACAGGTGAATGCTACACGGCTCTTTGGGGAATCAATCACTTTCAAACTTACTTGTACGGGCGGAAGTTCACATGGGTAACCGATCATGAGCCTCTGCTAGCCCTGAAGAAATCTAAGGATTACTCAGCATGATCGGGCGATGGGCAACAGTGCTGCAGAGCATGGATTTTGACATTCGTCATCGGAAACACGAAAGGCACGGAAATGCGGACGGATTGACGCGACTGCACCGACCTGAGAAGGTTCCGAAGAATGAGGAGGTGATTCCGTGGAACGCACCGAAGAAGGAGAACGGACCTTGGTACGGCCAAGTGGAGATCCTGTCAAAGGAGTAAGTGACACAGGGTCCATTTTTTGTTCTGCCCCCTCTGCAATTCAGTCCCATCTCTCCCTCTCTGCCATCATGACTACCTCACCGGTCTCTGTGACCCCCTCCTCTCCTACTTATTCTGCCCCTCTCACCTTCTCCGCCTTCTTTGTCAGTCTCCCCGATAAATTTTGCTATTTTTGCACATGTATTGCACGGGTTTATAGGGTTGACTGTCATCCTTCCGAAATCGGGTTTGTCGATTGGGTAGAATGTGCCAAGTGTGTCAATCGTGCACACGGGGCCTGCGTTCGCTATCGGACGAGTAGCAAGGAGTGGAGGTGCCCCCTATGTAGAACGACCAAACTTCCCACAGAGGTTCGATTCGAGGCCGCCCGAATGGACGACCCTGAATATGATGAGAAATACCGTCGAGCGGAGGTTTGGACGGATAAAATTTTATTAGCTAAATTAGTGGGATTATCATTGGGTTACCTCACCAAACACGACAGACATAGGGCTACCGAGAGATCTCGGGACTATCGATGGATCAACAGTTATTTGGAGAAGCGTAAAACTGACGGATCGGGTTCGTGGTTGACAGTTCCTCATCCATTCCAGAGATATGATTGGACCCGATCTGCTCATGAAGAGCAGACCGCTCATTTCGCAATACGTGTCACAGAGGCAACTATAGACCAGAACCGATGGTTCTGGTCCAATATACGAGATGATGTCAGATACGTTGTCGCCAACTGTCTGGTCTGTGCCGCTGATCGCGCCCCAATACGGGGACCAAACACGATAGTACCAACGGAAGTAGAACGCCCCTTCCAGCGAGTCAGTATGGACACGACAGATATTGACGTGCCACCTGGCCCAAACCGCTGTGAATATTCTATCCTTTTTCTATTAATAGACCATTTTTCCAAGTACATCGAGGTCTACCCCTGCAAAACCCGCAAGGCCGCAGAAATAGCCACGTACATCGAGCGGTTCCTCTATACCCATCTAGATACGGAAGAAATTCTGACCGACAATGGGTCCGAATTCAAAGGCGAAGCAGAGGAACTGCTCGCGTGAAGGGGCATCACGCTCCGACATACGACACCCCACGTGTGTCAGTCGAGCGGGTTGGACAAAAATGCCAACCGTATGATTAAAACCGCCCTTCGCAGGAATTTAGCGGCACATGACACGCGTCTGTGGCCTGAGATCGTGTATCAGATCGTCGGAATTCACCGGGCCACCCCTCATGAGTCCACGGGGTTCACCCCCTTTTAGCTTCGCACTAATAGCCTCCCCTGTGTCGACTACCAAGGTAACTCGGAAATTGCCGAAGCAGGGGGTAGAGACACAAGTGCCTCCCTCAAGGCCAAGGCTGAAAGGTATATCGATTTAATGGAATGGGCCGTCCCGAAGCTAGCCCGAAAAAGACAAAGGATGACCGATCTGGCCCACGGTGGGCAGGTCCGTAGCTATGAGGCTCGAAATGGAAATGTTGGGCCCCAGCATCAATATAAATTAGGGGACCTAGTGCAGATACGTAAATGTGCATGCGACGGAAAACTCACTCCCAAGTTTTCTGGTTGTTTTCGCATTGTCGAGCTCGGACCCAACGGCGCCAACACGGTGCGCATCGCGCCCGAGGCTAGTGCCAGCCATAGCTCTGTCCCCATCGTCCGACATACCTCCTACCTCCGACCTCTCCCTCCCTCTGATCTTCCCCCTTCTTCCTCCTCTGAAGAAGAGGAGAACGGCGACGATCTAACTCTCTCTCCGCTCTCTCCCTCCTGCCCTTCGTCTTCCTCTCCGTCCTCGCCATGAGCTTCATCACGGAGCAGGCTCTCGATGATCAACTGTTGCAGCCACGTGGCCACATCTCGGAAATTCGGCAAAGTCGTCATCCACGACTTAATACGGATCTTCGGCGCCTGGCGCAGTTCTTTTGCGACGTGGGTGTGTGTGCAGCCGCCGCGTTTCGATTCGAAGGGAGTCAGCAGACAATAGTGTTGGCGGAGGTGGTAGCGGTACATCGGCGAGCGGCTCCCAGAACAAGTCATGTCACTATGGTCGCGGCTTTCAGCGGCGACATCAGTACGGTCAATCCACTGTGGCATACAACGATCTTGACCTCGCTGCGAGAGTGGACGGAGCAGGTGTCCCACATGTGGCAGCACGGTCTTGCCCGACCAGGGCACAATCTCATCCCGACCTTTGCACCTGATCTTGACGGGGTCCGCCTCTCTCCGCGCGAACCAGCGGTTGCGATCCCCACCCTTGTTGCTTTCCCACGGCCCCAATGAACCGCGCCACCCCCCTCGCTCCTCTCTCCATCTTCGATCTCCCCTCTCTTTTCCCTACCTTCTGGCAATCCGATCTTCATCCTCATCTTTCCCTCTCGAACGAACCCCTTTCCGTCCCGCTTCTTAATCCCGGGCATTGGCGACTTTGGCGTGAGACCTTTGTCGAACTGTCCATGTGTTTGGCTCTAGTGCAGGTAACTTGGACGCGGACCAGCGAGCATCCCGCGTGTCTCGAAAATCTGGAATTGCTGATCATACAAGCTTGGAGGACTAACGTGGAAGGTGATCTCCTCGGGTTTCTCTTCGGATCGGTGCGGTCGGGACATCGCCAGCTAATCACTCAAGAACTCGTCGCGCCGATCGTGCAACTGGCGGACGATCTCTCTCTTGACATTGTTTCGCAAAGTGACAACAGCCCCGCTCCGCACGTACTAATGCGAACGTTGGATCTGTATCTTCAGTGGAGTGCATGCTTGGAAGAGCCTGGGGACGAAGACTCTCTGCCGTCGCGGCAGGAGTATCTGAAGCCATACGACATCATCAATCATGCTTTCTATCCAAAGGTGGAGGAGGTGGCGATAGAAGAGGAGGAAAGTGATGACGATGAGGAGACATCGGAAGAGGGAAGCTATAGCGAGTATATCGAGGGCGAGCAGAGCGAAGAAGAAGAAGAGGAAGAAGAAACAGGGTCTTAGTGGGAAGCCTTGCCGGAGCAAGCGGCGCGTACTGGCGCGGAGGCGGAAGATCCTGAGCCAGCACGCAAGCGAGAAGAAAGTGCCATTGGGAAACGCCAGCTAGAGTTCGCCAGCGGAGCAAGCCTGCGCATCGGTGACGATCCAACTGGGGATCCGGAGCCGCCGAAGCCTGAAGATGGCGACCCAACAGCCGCCACCCCAAGCACCTCACGACGGAGACGGAGCCGATCCTCCTCCCCCTCCAGCCCTACCCGTCCCCCAGTTCGTCCACGTACCGATGCGGGGGATAGGCCTTCGTCCCCGGACCTTATCCCGCCGTCCCCTTGATTACCTCACCCTCGAGCAGATCTACACCCCCGTCACCTTCCCCCGCCACCCCTTCCATCCCCATCTCTTCCGTGATTTTTACTCTGCGCGCCTAATCGCTACCGTCTACCCTCACCGCTCCCTTCAGCCCGCTGCCCCCACGTTCTGTCTGCATATCCTGTTGTTCAGCGCTGCGTGGGAACAGTGCAACGTGGTAGAAGTCTACTGCGTAGCTACGGGGACGATCCCCGCCTGTCGCCACTACGATTTCTTTCGTGCAGCGCTCTTCCGCACCCTCTCCTCCCTCTACCGCGACTACCTCGGCTCTCTCCCTCATAGTTGCGATCGCTTCCCTCGTTTTCACCGGATCATTCGCTATGAGGAACTTCCAGTGACAGTAGAAGGATTGAATCACTACCTACCCCCACTCCCTCCCCGTCGTCCCTACGGACTTCCCTCCATGTACCGCTTCTACTGGCCTATTCCAACAAGGCGGTAAAACCCAATCGCACGACTATCCCCCCCCCCTCCCTTCACCCAATCGACAAGAGGAGAACGACACGAATCGGTAAGCTTCGCGAAGATCACGCCATCGACGATGACGTCAACCTACGCTTTGATTCGACGGGCCGTGACGAGCCGGGGTGCAGAGCACATGGAGAACCAGCGGACAATGATGGCATCACCTGGACGACCTCCGACGATTCCAGCAGCACGAGCCAATGGACTCACGAAGAGATGGCAATTGAAGTTGGCGTCAACATGAGCTCTGGCTCGATTATCTGCTTGGTTCCTCATGCATCACTCTTCCCCCTCCTTCCTTCTCCGCCGTGACATGCAATCAGGAGATCGCATAATTTTGGAACCCCCTGCGCGTCACATATGTGACGAACTACTTCCCGAACCCGTGCTATCTTTCGTACCCTTTTGGTTTGAATCTTTCTTGTATCATACCGACCCTACAAGCACCCCGTTTGATTTCTTGATTTCGGGCGCCGCGTTTTGGGCCTCCATCTTCCGGAAGCTTTTGTGATTTTTCGGTTCTGCTTTTTCTCTTGCAATTCGGGAAATGCATAGGAATTTACGCGTGCCTTAGTGAGCGCACTGGGAATTGGGCCCGACAGTTGGAAATTCCGGGATAAGCGGAACTTCGACGTATCCTTTTTGTGTGTGAATGTTCTTGGTCGCGTTGGGGAAAACTCTCGGAATTTTGTGAGGATATGAATAGGCGTATGACTTTCTTTTCTCGCGTTGTCCTTTTCGCGCGCGGATATGGTGATTTTAATTTTGAATTCGTTTAGGACGTAGGCAAGCTGTAACTGTTTCAGTGCCTTTGTCTTTTTCATTTTGTTAACGGCGCCACACATACGAAGCTTTCTTCCCTCCTGCCCCCCCCCCCCCCCCGCTCTGTTTCTCGCATCGTTCTCTCCCGTGCTCTTTCCTCCTCCCCCTCCTTCTCATCCTCCCTTCTCGCAACTGTTTTCCCTCCCTCTCCCCCGCTCTGATCGATTGCGCGTCCATTTCCCTTTCTTGATCATCTGAATCTTGGACCTGTCTCGCGCTGCTTTTCGCGCCTCGTCTCTTCCCGCTCATCGACCTTGGCTCACGAAGCCCAGTTAATCCTCCGATCACCCCGGCTCACCAATCAGACGCGTTGAGTATGAGGAACTTCCTGCTACGCAACAAATCTGATTGATCGACCATTGGGCTCGAAAGGATGAACATGGCTTCCATAGCGCGCTCCTCGCCAAGTCTTCTCCTCTTGCTTCTTTTCTATCACTTTGATTTCCCCCCTGCCTTCTCTCTCTCTCGCCCCCCTTCTCGCCACTATAAATTTCGCAAGTGCGCTCGCAAATCTCTCTTACGTTCTCGAATCCCAAGCCAGCTTCCGGGAAGCAGTGGCTAGGCAGAGTGTTCGGTGCGAGTCGGAAAGTCCTGTCGGGCTGACGATAGGCTGGCCGGTTGAGTGCTTGATCGCCACGACGGACTGTGGGATCTGGGCGAACTGCGTCCAGTTTACGTCGAGAGGGTGACGATCGCAGTGGTGGGAGTTAGCACGCGACGGTCGGGATCGTCGGTGCAGGCATGAGGATCGATGATTAGAGTTGAGTAGATGGTTGGCCCGGGGCCATATTGGAATTCACGGCAAATGCGCCTTCGTTGTTGCAGATCTTTATCTCTGGCGTGAGTGTACGGCGGCAGCACCGAACTTCCTCTTTTCGGTTCTTGTAATTTCCTATCTCGATCTTCCTCCCTCGTCTCTCTCTCTCTCTCTTCTATCTTTGAATGACGATGTGTCTCAATGCTTGTCCCTCTCATGAATGAGAGTGAATTTGCGTGCTCTCCTTTGTGAAAGAACTTCTTCCAAAACTCTTCCATTAGTTTCGTGGGTCATCCGCGGATGTCGAGGAATTGATCCCCTTGTCTTCTAAACGGTGGATGCATGTGTACAATTCCCTCGGTTGATTTCTGACCTTTGCACCCCTGTCATTTTCGCACCTCCCACATTGAATGTATGTATGGAGATGCTTGCCTTTTAGTATTGATTCGACGCCGCACTCGACGGGATTTTGTTCGAGAATGCAAGAGTGTTTAGATCTGTAGTTCTAAATGCACTACGCATGCCATCTGCCTTATGCTGCACAACATCTGCAGCCGATCTACAGGGCAGCCTCGAGAAACAAGGCGCCTGGGATCAACGCCGCGGTGGCTTACTAAACCTGAGTCGCGGGTTGGTCCCTCAGTTACATGCATGATCAAGCTGATGAATGTTTTCTCTCTCTCTCGTGTCGAAAAGAATTGATTGGTGATTGTGCGAGTGTTTCTCCTTCATGACGTCTCCGGATTTTTGCAATTGATTGGCATGTGGACTGATGAACGCCCTTCGATCRGGCGTCAGCCTCCCGTATCTCCCGTATCAACACGACCTTTTCCTTACGACGAGGGAAGGACACGTGTATGCGAGTGGGACGTACGAGAAGCTGTCGCACGATCGACGGACGTTATTACTTCCCTCTGGAAAATCGTTGTTCAGGGTTCGTAGAGGCTGGGTTTGTCATTATCCACCTTACTCGATACTGTTGTCTTTTAACGAGTTGATCGTCATCCCGTGGACGGCAGTAGAACCCCACTGGCCTCACACTCTGTGCACCGAGTGTCAGCGCTTTGAGCGCTACGAATCCAAGGGTTTCCACTACCGCGTACGGAGTGAAGACGAACACAGGGAAAGAGCCACACGACTGAGGCCGTCCACGTCGGACTCCGAACTGACTGGTGAACGACGTCGGGACTTAATACGAAGACGAGACACGCGAAGCGTGCCGAAACCTTTTCGCTCTAAACGAAGGACCGTAGCACGGTGGGAAGTCCGACAATACTTTTTGGATTGAATTTGTATCTCTCTCCCCTTTCGCGCCGAACCCTCGCGCGCATTTTGCGATGTGCAAAAAACGGTCGACTTACAGTCATTACTTCATCGGACCAACATGGGGGATTTCAGTTCCGTCTGTGTCCCCACACGCAATTTCCAAAAATCCTTGGCACACCCCATTTTGCTGTTTTTCTAGGCCTCTTTTCCGCACCACCAGCACCCCGAACGGAAGACAGCGCAGGGCGAGAGGTTGCACGTCACATACCACTCTGATCCATCAATTACTCTTGGACCCGTCGGAACGGTCACGGGCAACTGAAATAGGGAGAGGTAAGAGATGCACTAAAACATTTTACGAAATAACTGTCAAATCAACATAGAGGCTCCTTAGAACAAAAATAGATTTTCAGGACTAAGTGGAAGAGCGACGGAGAAACCACCTAAACATTAGTCAAGATGAAATAAGGTTAATAAAATGGTTTAGGATGGCCAAGACAAAACCTGCCAAAATTGCGTCCAATGGCAGATAGAACATCGCAGCCTCCCAACCAACAACTCGTTAATAGATAGAACGTCGTTGGAACAAAGAGGGTTGACACTCCCCTGGTGCAAACTGTGCACGAATGCGATCCCAACCAGAAAACGACATGAAACAATTGAGCATATATTTCTACAATGCCCAGGTGCACTCTGGTTGTGGAGATGGTGGGATAGAATCTGGGACCAATTAGGCACAACAACCTCGTGACTCTGGGACTGGAAGGCACTGCTATGTGAAGTCTGGCCTAGGAGACAGATAGATCAACTTGATGAATTCTCCAACAATATGTTCAAACTGGGTCGAAGAGTTATCCTATGGGCACTCTGGAGGCGACACTGCACATACGAGATAGAAGGGGCGAGACTAAAAGGCCCTGAATTCACGGAAAGTGTGCAACAACAAATCCAAATAGAAATAACAGCTAAATAGGATGCGGTTGAAACTCAGATCCAATCCCTGCATACACAAAAAGACATTAAACAAAAAATTATGTGACGAACCACTTCCCGACCTCGTGCCATCTGTCGTACCCTTTCCTTTGCTTGTATCATACCAACCCCAGGAGAACCCCGTTTTGAGTTCTTGCTTTCGGGTGCCACATTTTTCTTTTTGAGAGTTTTTTCGACTGCCGAGTTCCGTTTTCCTTCTTGGAAAGTCGGGAAATACATGGGAATTTACGTGCGCCTTAGCGAGCGCACTGGGAATTGGACTCGGTAGTTGGGAATTCCGGGATAAGCGGAACTTCGACGTGTCCTTTTTGGGTGTGTGAATGTTCTTGGGCGCATCGGGGAAAACTCTTGGAATTTCGCATGAATACGAATAGGCATAGGATTTTTCCCGCGTCGTGTTTTCGCACGCGG